AAAGACTAGGAGGCTCAGGTAAGTTAAATAATGTGGCCCTAATTCAATCCAGCTTTAGTTTGAGACTAGTCACTTTGGCAGTGGCATGGCATGATTGGTTACCAGGAAAGAAAGTCTGCCTAGCAGAAAGAGGACCTTTGGGATGCTATGCAGATGTGACAAGGACCTAAACAAGCAGAAACACACAGGATGGAGCAGATTAAGGGGTATTGTGGATGCAATGTGTACAGAGCTTGGTGCCAGGGGAGGGGTAGAAATTCCATGGGTAATTTCCAGAAGGGGCAGGGACATCATCACTTCTCCAGTTGGGTTAGCAGATGGAAGATTTTTAGAGGAAATGATGATTTTACTTGTATAAGCGTTATAGTTGAGGTAGTTATGGAACAATCAGAGGGGAGTTGTCTTAACAGGGAAGAAATACAGTCCTAGAATTCATCAGACAATTCCAGTGTGGAAATAAGGATCAGGGATCCACTAAGTGAAGAATAACAGTTGGGGCCAAAAATTTATATACTATCCAAGAAAGATGCAGAGGATAAGAGGTGCAGAGGGCCTTGGATAAAGTCACATGGAGCCCTGGAGGAACTAATAAAAAAGAGGATGTGGGGTCTAGGGATCCAGGTTGTTGAGAACAGCTTTGCACTGGGGTAGCATGTGGCTTACAACTTTGGGTCCAAGGCTACAGTTAAGGTCTTTCTCAGAAGACCAGAGAGGAGCAAAGAAAGTCCAAAGAAATCGGCGTTATCTCTAAGAGTATGATCCAGAAATTACATGGGTTCAAATGCTCAAATCACCCTGACTCAAACTTGGTCACATGGATTGAGAGCAGGAAGAGGAGGGGATGACAGAGGATGAGATGGTTGGATAGCATCACTAACTCAATGGACACGAGTTTGAGTAAACTCTGAGAGATGTGAAGGACAGGGAAGCCTGGCATGCTGCAGTCTATGGGGTTGCGAAGAGTCAGACACGACTTCGTGACTGAACAACATGCAAGGGAGGTCTGGCTGTAGTCTATCACTGGGCTACAATGTGCCCAGCTAAAGCTTGGGAGGGTTCTAATACAAAAGGGAAGAGGGGGGGATGGGTACTAAGGGACACAATTCTCGTTGCTTTCCCTTAAACACTTTGCTGAGAGAATTCTCTGGCGGTGGTTCAGTGGTTAGGGCTCCTTGCTCGCCCTGCTGAGTGAGGGCAAGGAGTTCAATCCCACAAGCCAAATGACATGGCCAATAAATAAATAAATGCATATTTTGCTGATATCCATCTCAACAAAGCAAGGAGAGCTTTGACCAGGAAAAATGAAAAAAAAAAAGAAAGAGGTAATTCTGAAACCTGATGCTTCCAGAAAATGGCTGGTGTGGGTGGGATGGTGATACACAGGCTAACTCTTGTGAGGATGCATCATGGAATGGTATGATGAACATGGACTAGACCAAACAGTAAAACTTCAAGCTCTGCTGCTGTCCTGGGCAAGTTTCTGAACTGCCTACATGCCAGCCTTACATTACAGTGTCACTGAGAGGTTAACAGATTTAGTATCTACAATGCCATACATAGCGCCTTGCACCTAGTAAGGACTTAAACTCCTATTCCTCTCCTTAATTCCTCCCCATTGTTTGAGGGCAAAAGAAGGACATGCCAAGATATCAAAAGAAGATAAGAAAGAAGGTGGCTAGACACCAAAAACTACCAGTACTTTTTTGTAATTTTGCCCGGAACCTCGATGCCTAAGTTTAAATGAAAGCCACTCTACAATGCCAGTTTTGACACCAGTGCCTGCTCTATGTCTCCAGAGGCAGTTTCAAGGCAAGGAAAATGTTATGATGGTTACTCTAGAGCAGCACTGTAGGCAGCCAGGCTTCAAATACCAGAAGCTGCTGGCTGGCTGTAAAGACTTGCAAGGAAAGAGTTTCCTTTGTTTGATTAAAACATTTGTAAATGTCAGGTCATGCTATATTTGTAAGTAACCTGCATCTGTCACCCTATAGATGAAGAAAAGGAGCAAAAGGCTATACCTAAGACCAGTTGATGGCTCCATCCACTTACTGAAAAAAAGTTAGCAGCCCAAGAATACAAGCTTATATTGCTTTCTTCAGATTTTAATTCTTCATGCAAGCTATCCACTCTGTATCTTAGAAAACTCTAGGGATTCTCCCCCCTAGGCTGTCTGCTTAGTCATAAGGCAGCAGAAGCTACCTAGCATGTCTAAAAGAACTGGTCATTAACTGGAGAGGCCACTAGGAGTGAAAGACCTCTCCTCTCTCTTTTCTTTCCAACCTCTACCAATCTTCAGGCAGACAGAAGATGCAGGAAAGAAGTGGTAAGGTCCTTGTGTTTCCTTAAGTTGGACCAGTAACAATGAGTCCAGGTGAACAATATACAGTAGGAATCACATTCCAGGAGTAAAAAGTGAAGGTGGCAAAAAAAAACCCTTCTTCTTTTGGTTAGTTTTCAAGGTTTGTTGTTGTTTAGCTAAGTCATGTCCAACTCTTGCAACCCCATGGACTGTAGCCCACTAGGCTCCTCTGTCCATGGGATTCCCCAAGCAAATATACTGGCGTGGGCTGCAATGTTCTTCTCCAGGGATCTTTCCAACCCAAAGATTGAATGTGTGTCTCCTGCACTGACAGGTGGACTCTTTATCACTGAGCAAACAGGGAAGCCCAGTTTCCAAGGTTATCTAATTATGCAGTATGAAGAAATCACTATTATTATTGCATCCTCCTGTCAATGGTTGTTCAACTGCTGGTTGTGATTTTGTGGTTCTCGCAAGAGGAGATAGATAAATACACGTCCTTCTATTCTGCCATCTTGAACCAATCTCTTGATCACAAGTATATTTTTTGTTAGTTTGTTCAATTGAAAATATCTAGGGAAAATATCTAACTTCAGTTCTGGTCTAAAAGTCAGTGCCAATTTCCTCACTGAGAGAAGAAAAACAAGAAATGCTAAAAAAAAAAAAAGAGAAAAAAGAAGAGTATCTTCCTTCTATGAAAAGCTTTAATAAGGGACTTCTAATCAAAGTTTGAAGCACCATGTTTCCTCTATCAAAAATTCCAGCTGAGGAGAAAGAAAACAGTTTGGGGGGAAAAGAGAAGTGAGAGAGAGAGAATTTGCTAAATACAGGCCCAGTGTTTTGAAAACGAATGCACAAAAATAATCTGAAATGAGTCGGACTTCACTGCCTATGCGTCAACATTGAAGGAACAACAAAAGGAAAGTTGGCAAGAGTTTTCTCCAAATAGACATTATGTTCTGGAAAAAATTTGGATTTGATTTGCGTGCTTGGCATTCTTTTGTCTCTGAAATGAAGTATTTTGGATGCTTTTTGCAAGGCACTGCTCAGAAGTCACCTGTGTTGGTTTCATTTCTATTGTTCCATATTTATGCTTCACTGCTCAGTTTTCAGTGTTTACTAAGCAATTTATGATAATTTTGTATTTATTACAGTTTTCACAATGAAACTGCTTCATGATACACATCATTCTGTAACAGAACTCCCCAGGGGAAGGAAGTCAAATGCAAATCCTTCAGATCCAGGATCTCCAACAACACTTCATCACCAAATTAAAAAAGTGAAAATGAACTACCACTTCCACTCAAAATAGCAGGTATCAAGGAAAAGACCCTGATGCTAGGAAATATTAAGGGCACGAGAAGAAGGGAATGACAGAGGGCAAGATGGCTGGATGGCATCACTGATTCAATGGACAAGAGTTTGAACAGAATTTGGGAGATAGTGAAGGACAGGGAAGCCTGGAATGCTGCAGTCCATGGGGTCGCAAAGAGTTGGACACGACTTAGTGACTGAACAACAACAAGGTGAAAACAAATAGCTTTTGTTTCAAAACTAAGAATTTTAAAGGAGAATGAGCAGAGGACATAGAGAGTGAAAAGGGTACTCATCACTCAACATCAACTTTGCAAATTATCAGAAGCCCAGGGATTCAGGTCAGGAAGGCAAGTAAGCTCAGCTGGTTCAAATATAAATGAGAAAGCAATAAGAAAGGAAGTCATACTGATAGCTTGGTATTTAGAAAACTGGGCTTCAACGTCAGAGCTATCAGGACTAATCTCAGTTCCACTAGTTATGTAACCTCAGGCAAGTACTTAACTTCACTGAAACTCTGGACCACAGCAAATACCTATATCAAGCTCATGGGCTTGGACAGACAAATACACACAGAGAGCTTAGTGTACCATTGGAGCACAGTAAGCTCAATGAACGGAAGCCATCACCATTGTAGGATAATGATATCATCATCGTCATTAATTACACACCACAAGGTCAAGGATTCTTGTCCATTTCTAGTCACAGCCAAATTCTACCACTGCCCAACACAGAACAGGCATTCAATAAACATTGAATAATTTATCAAAATAAAAGTACAATATTCTTCAGAATAGACCACTTGCTGTTACCAAGTCCATCATTTTCTAATGCTTTCTCAAAATGGAACGTCCACAGCCTTAGTAAAATGCCATATTATCCATCTGAAAATTACTGCTTTTAAAAACACACATTCTGGTGCATTTTCATTTTTCGCAGAGATAGCAACCACCATAGCCATCTTTAAACCTGAATCAGAATTCACTGGCAGTCCAGTGAGCTTCCACTGTATGGCAGAATGAGTTCCATTCCTGGTTGGGGGACTAACATCCCTCATGCCACTGGGTGTAGCCCCCAAATTAAAAATATCTACAAACCTGAACCAATACCTCTTCCCTAACATCTTTTCACTGCCTTTGAAGACATTATCACTTTTACCTTTAATGTGGATGTGAGGCAAATAATCAAAGAATGCCCTGATGTTTGCTTCAAAGCTAAACATTTAGCTGAATGATAATAAATAATTGTCTTTATTTGCAATGTTTTGCTCTAAAATATAAACGCCATCAAGTTGCATGATCCAGAGAAAACAATAAAAACCAGAGCCACGTGACCTGGTGCTCAGGATTTCAGCCTAGTGTGAATTTCCACAAGTAGCCCTCCTTACCTTTGCAGAATGTTCCATGGTGACCACTACTTTGGTTCTGGCACTGGACACTAGATCCATAGCCCCTCCCATTCCTTTCACCATCTTTCCCTGCAAAACAAACAGAAAATAAGAAGCAATTCTCTTTCAACCTTTCCGTATGTGGTAAAACAAAATTAACTTGCAAGAAGTTGCTGGAATAATTAATCAGAAAAACTCATTGACCTTCATTGCTTAGTACTTGAACTTTATCACCTTAATATTCTATTGTTCTCTATTATTCTGCGGATGAAGGATAAGTTCAGGATAAATATTACTATTAAATATTAAATATATATTATTAAATATAGTTAACATTATTACATCAAAGAAATATTAGCAATAAGGCAATCAGTGGGTAAGAAAAATCTCAAGAATCTTTCCAAAATTCTGGGAACATTACTACTATGAGAATAATAGATTAAAATCTATATACCCCTAACATTCATTTCTTTCTTTTTAAACATACAATTGGCACCACTGAGTCTTCAATCACAGACCCTTTCTAAAGCACTCTTGGATGTCCTGCAGATTAAATGCCACTAGGTAATAAACTAACACATTAGTGGTGTTTCCCTAGTAATGATTAATATGAAAGGTGGGTCTGTCTTTCTAAAACTTGGCACTTACCTTGCTCTTACAAAAATAAACCAAAACATTTATTTTTCTGGAGTTGAGCTGGAGGAGTTGCTTGTATATTTTTGAGATTAATCCTTTGTCTGTTGCTTCATTTGCTATTATTTTCTCCCAATCTGAGGGCTGTCTTTTCACCTGGCTTATAGTTTCCTTTGTTGTGCAAAAGCTTTTAAGTTTCATAAGGTCCCATTTGTTTATTTTTGCTTTTATTTCCAATATTCTGGGATGTGGGTCATAGAGGATCCTGCTGTGATTTATGTCGGAGAGTGTTTTGCCTATGTTCTCCTCTAGGAATTTTATAGTTTCTGGTCTTACATTTAGATCTTTAATCCAGAAAAATAAATGACCCAATCAAAAAATGGGCCAAAGAACTAAACAGACATTTCTCCAAGGAAGACATACAGATGGCACAAAAACACATGAAAAGATGCTCAACAGCACTCATTATCAGAGAAATGCAAATCAAAACCACAATGAGGTACCATTACACACCAGTCAGGATGGCTGCTATCCAAAAGTCTACAAGCAATAAATGCTGGAGAGGGTGTGGAGAAAAGGGAACCCTCTTACACTGTTGGTGGGAATGCAAATTAGTACAGCCACTATGGAAAACAGTGTGGAGATTTCTTAAAAAGCTGGAAATAGAACTGCCATATGACCCAGCAATCCCACTTCTGGGCATACACACCGAGGAAACCAGATCTGAAAGAGACACGTGCACCCCAGTGTTCATCACAGAACTGTTTATAATAGCCAGGACATGGAAGCAACCTAGATGCCCATCAGCAGATGAATGGATGAGGAAGCTGTGGTACATATACACCATGGAATATTACTCAGCCATTAAAAAGAATTCATTTGAATCAGTTCTAATGAGATGGATGAAACTGGAGCCCATTATACAGAGCGAAGTAAGCCAGAAAGATAAAGACCATTATAGTATACTAACACATATATATGGAATTTAGAAAGATGGTAACGCTAACCCTATATGCAAAACAGAAAAAGAGACTCAGATGTATAGAACAGAATTGTGGACTCTGGGAGAAGGCGAGGGTGGGAATGTTTCAAGAGAACAGCATCTTAACATGTATATTATCTAGGGTGAAACAGATCACCAGCCCAGGTTGGGTGCATGAGACAAGTGCTCGGGCCTGGTGCACTGGGAAGACCCAGAGGGATCGGGTGGAGAGGGAGGTGGGAGGGGGGACCGGGATGGGGAATACATGTAAATCCATGGCTAATTCATTTCAATGTATGACAAAAACCACTGCAATGATGTAAAGTAATTAGCCTCCAACTAATAAAAATAAATGGAAAAAAAAATAAACCAAAACAAAAATATGTATTTCTGTGAAGCAAAAACGGAAAACAGAAGCAGAGTTCAGGATCCTTTCATCAGGACAATTCTATTTTTGTTCATCTGTCCATCTCCTCATTCATTAAACATTTAACAACCACCTTCTCTGTGCCATACACTCTGAACAATTCCCACTGTCTAGTCTGTCTCCCAGTTACAGAATTTTGGAAAAAGCAAGTGCTTCCAGAGATAATGAAATAAATTCTTACTCACGTAGATTGAAGAGAAATGTTTCTAACACCAAAACCTCCTGAAAATTTAATATATCTTCTCATACAAGTCCTCTTGCTGATTTGACAGTAAATGCTTGCAGGGCTCTTGCTTCCTTTTCCCTAATTTCTTAGCTTTAAGGAGATTAGGCAATACACTCACACCTGGCTTTAAAACAGTCTCCAATCCCCTGATTTCAGAAACATTTCAGAGGTCAAGGCAACACTGCATTAACATGAATTAGACAGGAAATAGAAAAGAAGGGAGTAAGGAGTCAGGATATCTTCGTGGTTTGGAGCTCATCACTAAATGATGTGAGAGGCATGGCAATGGTTGGAGAGTGGAGCAAGGAAGGAGCAGAAAAGACAAAATGAGTCTGTCTTCAGACATGTAAGTCTGCCATGAAGCAGAATATCCATGTAGAAATGTATAATTTTATATTTCTATAAGTCATGCCTTCAACCTTACTTGGTTGCAATTTTAAAAAGTTAAGCACCAAGTCATAATATTTCTGTAGAGAACACTGATACGTTATGGTACAAAGAATCAAAGTTATAGATGGAAGCAATGAATGTCTATCATAAACTCAAATTCTTAGAAGTTTGAGATTTTTAAAGCATCAGAAGACACTAAAGCTAGTCCATTGTAAAATATCTCAAACTGCTGTGGTAAGAATATCCAGCCAGTCTGAGCTTCCACACATGGTGTCCTTGGGCAGACTAAGAGTGTAAGTGCCAAAGAATGAGAAAGCCAAAGAAAATTGGAAACTAAGCTAGTGCATTAAACGTTCCTTAAATTAAAAAAAAAATTCTTTGAATTAGAATATACCATAGTCCAATTTTGTCTGTTGTGACACAATGATACTGGTAAAAGTTTATGACAGCCTCTAAAAAGAAGCTCGTCCATTTTAGGTGAATCTGATGTATGTATTTTAAACCACTGTCAATTATTTAAGAAAGATTTATAGAGTACCAACTAGGCACATAACACTGTGCTGGCAGGAATATGAAGAGCTATAAAACATGTTGGAAAGAACTAGTTCTTTGTTTCTGTTAAAAAGAACTTTATCCCTTGACTCAATGTAAATGAACAGCCTTCCTCATGCAAAGGAATTCAAATGATCTAATGTCCTGTCCTCAAAGCACATGCTATGAGTTTCAAAGCACTATTCTGAAACTTACACATTTGTTTCCAAGAGTGAAAAATGCAGAAGATTAAGTGCAGAACACCTGAGATCTATTAACCCATTGTGTGTCGTGTGCAAAACACCAAGAGACACAGGTTCAATCCCTTGGTCATGATCCCCTGAGGAGGGCATGGCAAACCACTCCAGTATTCGTGCCTGGAGAATCCCATGGACAGAGGAGCCTGGCAGCTACAGTCCATGGGGTTGCAAAGAATTGGACACAACTGACGTGACTTAGCATGTACACGCACAAATCTCTCTGAATTTGGGCTCATTCTTCATAATTCAGGAATAAGAATATCTGCCCTACCATAAAGCTGTTGTGAGGAATGGATGAAATAATGTATGAGAACTGTGGAATAAACTAAAGTTTGTAAGTTTACCAACTTACATATTCAGTCAATTCAGTTTCCTAAGTGTCCAATATAAGCCTGACATAGTACTGGGTGCTAGAGTTAGAGATGATCAAGACAGGCTTCTTTCCTCATAAACTTCACCATCAAGGGAAGGGAAAGCATCCTTGTGTAATTAAAGAGACTAGGACCAAACTTCTTCCCTGTAAAAGAAGCATTCTCCACCTCTCCCTCATCCCAAGGCAGAGCTAAGTGCCTCTTCCCTGTGTCCTTGGCACTATTCGGTATGTAATTCTATCACAGTGAATGTCAACTCTCCATTTCTTTCTGTCATTGTACTGTTTATTATTATTATTACTACACTATAGGTGCTTGGATGAATAAGTGGATGAATGGCTTCAACTAACATAGGTATGTTCGAGCTCTAGCAGAACACTGAAGATGCAAATGCTAACTGTGCCTGGAGAGGCAGGAATGGGAGGAAGAGGCTGGGGTGGGGGGCTGTCACAGAAGAGATGCTTCACAGAAGCAGTCTGCCAAATGGGAAAGTGACTCCTAAGGGAAAGCAATTCTAGCAGGTTAACAGGAAAAACCTTCAAATGTTTGTTTTCATATTTTTTAAGTAAGTCCATTGTATTAGAAAAAGAACATACAACATTTCCTTCCATTTCAATTCCCAAGTGATTTCTGAAACAGAATCAATTACTAAAGGAAAACAACTCATTCTATCTATGCCAGCAGAAAAAAAAAACAGTTATATAAGACACACTCTGAAGCAGGTGGGAAGTTCAACACCGTCTTTCAGCACTGCTCAGCAGGCACTCTTCTGGGACTCAACATCTTGCATATCCCAGTTCTCTACTGCAGCTGGGGAAGACATGTGCCTGAGTGCTAGACAACGGAAGAAAGGGAGGAGACATCTGTGGTTTCACGTTCTGGCCCATAAAAACCTCTCACATGGAATCCTTCATGCTCCTTCAAGTTCTACAATCTGGACACTGACATCGTAGATGACTGAGCTTCCTTCAGCCTGGGTCCTTCAATGACCATGTAGAACAGAGCCCACTTATTCAGAAACAAACTGCATTGTTCAGTACAAGTGAAAAATAAACATAGAAGGTGCTAAACCACTGAAGTCAGGAAGTTTATCTCTTACATCAGCTAGTGTGATGAATAAAATGGTGTGTTGTCCAAAACAGGGCTATGTAAGGGACAGAATTCTGCACAGAAACAGAACTAACTGTTACAACTGCACAACAGTGGGGGACCTGAGGCCTCTTAAGGAGACATTTTACTACTGCTCTTTGGTGGGGTGGGGGGGTGTGAC